TACACTGAATAAATAGAATTACATATATAAATAGACAGACAGACAAACCAACCTACCGACAGACAGTTTGTCAGACAGATATATAAACAGACAGACAGACAGACAAGCTAACCTACCGACAGACAGCTCATCAGACAGATAGACAGACAGACAGACAGACAGACAGACAGACAGACAGACAGACAGACAGACAGACAGACAGACAGACAGACAGACAGACAGACAGACAGACAGAAGAAATATATAGACATACAAACAAACCGACCTACCGACAGATAGCCCGCCAGTCAGACAGACTGACAGACAGATTGACAGACAGATAGAGATATCTAGGTAGGGGGGATGAAAGGATGGAGGCAGAGATTAATGTTTCACACTTAATCAAAGGTGAAAGAACAAATGTTTTGTCTATAAAAGTTTCTTATTTTGTACGTTAAGACAGCCAACAGACATGACACATGTTCACATGATACTTCAGATATTGCTTAATGTATGTTCATATAATGGGAACACCTGTGAAACATGTATTCCAGTGTGTATATACATAATAATGTTCACATATATATATATATATATATGTGTATGTGTAAGCATATATGCATTCATGTATGTATCTTTGTTTATACATACATCTGTCAGGTAGAAAAAAAAAAAGGGGGGGGGGGGAGAGAAAAATTCAGACATGCAAACAGACAGGTAGAGAAAATAGAGAGAAAGACAAAGACAGAGAGAGAAAGAGGCGACAGACAGACAGACAGACAGACCAACAGACTTACACACGCAGAAAGTGAGTGGCAGAGAGACTGAAAGAGAGAAAGAAAGATATATATATATATATATATATATATATATATATATATATATATATATATAGAGAGAGAGAGAGAGAGAGAGAGAGAGCGATGAGAGCGAGAGAGAGAGAGAGAATAAACATAATGTGCAGATAAAAGACCTGTTGGTAAAGACACCCACAACTCCTTTTTGTTGTTGTTACTGTAGTGAGCACTAGTACCTTTTTTTAAAGACACTTTGCGGTGAGTACTGGCAACCTTTTCAACACTTCTTGGTAAGGTACTGGTAACTTTTTTTTAATATACACTTTATGGTGAGTAAGTAAAAAAAAAAGTAAAGATCCCTTTCCACGCCTTTAGGTGTATCGGGCATATGGGAAAAGCGCCCATATTTTTACAGAACATCAGCACTGGGTGGGTAATGTGGTCAGCATTACGCCGGCTGTCTTTACTTTCCCAGGACAGCCCATCCTGGTACCCATTTTAGGCTGGGTCGACCTGCGACACCTCATACTATGATAAAAATCCACGCAGCCAGGAGTGGGTTTCGATCGTTTATGGTGAGTACTGGCGCATTTTGTTCTAGAAACAAGTCTGATTAGGTATATATGACATGACTTGATACACATTAAATATACAGCACACCACACGAAGCTTATCTGTTTAAAAATGTATAGTACTCGTATATCACAACATTATTGCTTGCACACAATATAACAGCACTGATAGATAATTACATACATATATAGTTTATACAATGTGTATGCAGCAAATATTTCCACAATCAAATGCAGTTAACTAAAGAATAACAAGTACAAAATAAAAAAAAATCATTTTCCATGCCTTCTGGTGTTTTGGGCATATAAGGTTAGATTTATACTTTATAGACCAATCAGCACTTGGTGGATGATACAGTCAACTGGCCACTTTTACTTCTCAGGACTTTACCTGATACCCTTTAAGGCTGGGTTGATATGACAGCCAAGGTCATTTTTGTTTTAAAAGTACGGCTCCACCAGGACCTGAACTCATTGCCTTCACATTCTCAGGCGAGCTTTAACTGATACAATACCTAGTCCACAATAGACTTCAGGCTACACCAGGTCCATGTATCCTTTATAGGTGCCTTGATTATAATTTCTTTGGAGGCTGAAGGGGCTATCTGGGTTCTGCCCTGTGTGTTTGCCATCAAGAATGAGGTACTTAAAGTCTCTGAGAGGAATCAAACATTAAAGTAGTCGCTTGGTGGGAAAAGAGTTCAGGATGATGATGAATAAGTAGCTTTCATCTTGATTGCTTCTTCTTAGCGTTTACGGGCTGTACACTCTAGCAGAAAGTTCCGGTTGTTCATCCACTTCTGAATTTTAGACTTGTTCCAGAAAGTGAGTTTTGCATGCACATCTGTTTTTAGAGATCTAGCTTATTTGTATGCAAACTGTTTGTTCTTTGCCTCTTACACAGATGCACTCAGACTTTTCAAGGTACCACTCCTAATTAGTCGCCTCCTACGACACTCATGTTTCCGCTCCATACACAATACTGATTTGACATTAGAATTGAACATTTTAAGTTTAGTATTTCTGATTAAATTAGCAATCTTTTAATTCCTATGAGATTTCTTGGTACTAAATTGGGCAATTGGGTCAGTCTGGAAGCTCGGATCACTAGTAATCTAGTCGCAAAAGTCTTCAATCTTATTTATAAGTAAGTAAAGTAAAGATCTCTTTCCACACCTTTAGGCACATCGGGCATATTGAAAGAGCACCCATATTTTTACAGACCCATCGCACTAGGTGGGTAATGAGGTCAGCATTGCGCTGGCCGTCTTTACTTCCCAAGGACATCCATCCTGGTATCCATTCTAGGCTGGGTCTGCCTGCGATGCCCCATACCACGATAAAAATAAATGCAGCCAGCAGTGGGTTTCAATTGTTATACGTTGGAATTATGAGTCGAGTCGCAACGCCTCTGACGCCAATCTTATTGATAACATCAATAAAATACCTGTCTCGAGGGAATTTTAAAAAATACGATCATCAGGTTGGATCGGCACTTAGCGCACCCCCCCCCCCCTCCTTTTCCCCCTACCCCGGACTGCAGGTTAAATAAAAAAATGTTAAATGTTGAATTAAGAATCAACATAATAGCACTTGGGACACTCCCACAAGCGCTCCGTCTCAATCTTCAGCAACAAGCGAAGAATTCCAGTTCTAATTTTACAATCAGGCAGGTTAAATACACCTGGCTGGGCTGGCTGTTGTGGGTGCCCTAATTATAACTTTTCAGCAGGTTGAACACGGTATCTTGGTTGGTCTGCCTGGTTGGTCTGCTGTCCACAATGAAATTGTAAATCGCAGGATGGTATGATCACGGCCAGCTCCAGATATAAGGTCGTACAGCTCAAATCTACTGGATAACAATTTTTACCACCGACCGACTACGCCAGCCTCACAAAAACGGGAATGCCTGTTTGAGCTGTACAGCCTTTTATCTGGAGCTGGCCCTGGGTATAATAAACCTTTAGGTAGCAGCCCAGAGGAGATAAATTGGTTGATGTATCAAACTTCAAACTGAGTCAGGCTGATATATTCCATACATGGTGCCAAATTATGACTTCTTTGGAGGTTGACTGGGGTATCCGGGATTTGCACCTTGGTCTGACATCCAGTTGGGATTTCTTTTGTAATCTCAGTGTGGCCAGACTTGCAGGTAGCACAGCCCAGAAGGGAAGGAAAGAAGGTGGGAAGGAAGGAAGGAAGGAAGGAAGGAAGGAAGGAAGGAAGGAAGGAAGGAAGGAAGGAAGGAAGGAAGGAAGGAAGGAAGGAAGGAAGGAAGGAAGGAAGGAAGGAAGGAAGGAAGGAAGGAAGGAAGGAAGGAAGGAAGGAAGGAAGGAAGGAAGGAAGGAAGGAAGGAAGGAAGGAAAGAAGGAAGGAAGGAAAAAAGTAAGGAAGGAAAAAAGGAAGGAAGGTTGCAGAAAAGTGTACCAACAGCCATGCAAATTTACTCCAAGAATAAAAATGTGTTAAAATTACACTGGAAATAACCATTGCTAAAGAAGTAAAATGATAATGACTGACATAGTTTTGGAATGTATATTGATATTAGACAATAACTGATTCTCAGATTATTTCTGCATAGATTTAAACATCATGCACTTAATCCACTCTGACCGTAAACAGACATGTAAACAGGGAAGTCGGCATTAGTTTCCCCAAAGTTTATCAGGTGCACAAACTGTGGCCACATGACAGCTCCTCTAGAGAGGAAAGTTTTGCAGGATAAGTTCTGGAGTCTGTACTAGAGAGCTGTTTGGCTCATACCTAATGGATGTGACTGTTTGTTGTGTTGAGTCTGTTCTAGAGAGCTGTGTTGCTCATACCTAATGGATGTGAGTGTTTGTTGAGTTAAGTCTGTTCTAGAGAGCTGTTTGGCTCATACCTAATGGATGTGAGTGTTTGTTGAGTTAAGTCTGTTCTAGAGAGCTGTTTGGCTCATACCTAATGTATGTGAATGTTTGTTGAGTTAAGTCTGTACGTGAGAGCAGCTTGGCTCATACCTAATGTATGTGAGTGTTTGTTGAGTTAAGTCTGTACGTTAGAGCTGTTTGGCTCATACCTAATGTATGTGAGTGTTTATTGAGTTAAGTCTGTACTTGAGAGCTGTTTGGCTCATACCTAATGTATGTGAATGTTTGTTGAGTTAAGTCTGTACTAGAGAGCTGCTTGGCTCATACCTAATGTATGTGAATGTTTGTTGAGTTAAGTCTGTACTTGAGAGCTGTTTGGCTCATACCTAATGTATGTGAGTGTTTGTTGAGTTAAGTCTGTACTTGAGAGCTGTTTGGCTCATACCTAATGTATGTGAATGTTTGTTGAGTTAAGTCTGTACTAGAGAGCTGCTTGGCTCATACCTAATGTATGTGAATGTTTGTTGAGTTAAGTCTGTACTTGAGAGCTGTTTGGCTCATACCTAATGTATGTGAGTGTTTGTTGAGTTGAGTCAATAGTATCTCACAGATATAAACACAAATTAGATATGGCTGATTATCAGATTATGTCTGCAAAGATTGTCTATATCAGTTAGATAAAAAATTGTTATCAAAATTAAGCTGGTCCATCAGTAGTTTTGTGTATATTTTGAAAGATAAACATAGGAAATCAAATCACCATATTCATTAAAGATAATGCATAAAGCCACGAGATTCTGCAACTAGGAAGACTTGGGTTCTGAAACTTGTTGAGGCTGACTCTTCTTTTGTGCAGAGGTTATCGTTTCAACACTAGAAACCATGGCATTGTGAACACCGTTGGTCACAGCCATGCTTGCATGCCCATTGTCTGTGTGGGTGAATGTGTTCACTGTCAGATTCTCTGAGATACATTCCCTCCGCATAATCCACCAGGCAGTGGCCATTTCTGAGTCAATATACGATGGAGGACTTTCTGGAAGGTACTGGTGGTGTCTGGGGTTATGATTGGCAGTTGCATCAACAGTCCCACAAATTGGTGTGGCCCAATCAGCATTGAATAGCTGGAACGAATCAGAGAAATCTTGAGAATCAGTATGGCTGAAAGAACGATCAGAAGGATATCTCACAAAACGATGCAATGGGACCCTTTCACTGCTAACTCCACTGGTCATTGCTGAATATCCTGTGGGACTTTCGCTATCGACAGAGATGGCACTGTCTGATGGAGCTGTGGAAGTATTACCTTCACCAGAAAGACTGAAGCGTACCCGTTTTTTGTCACACTGAACACTCGCAGCTCTTCCATCGCAGTCCTCAAAACAACCGCTTGTAGACACACCGGAAGTATCTGCATCTTCTTCTGGGAAATTGGCATTCAAGTCCATGCTGATGCCTCTAAGGCTGGATCTTTCACTCGGTGTCACTATACTGGCTCCCAACCCACTTTCAAAGCTTGTCCTTGCAGGAGGCAATGGTTCGAATGGGGTGCAATTGATGAAACTGTTTTGGGCATACTCATGGAGAAGCCAATTAGCAACCTGGACAGAAGAATAGGGTGGTGGAGTAGGCTCAAACATGACTTCACTGCATTCTGCAACTGGTGCAGAGGGCTCTAGGTAACCCGAGAAACTTTCAGTGACTTCTGATGCGTTGGATCCCTGTTTCATCATGGTTAATGGGTAGTCACTGAGGACTGATCCTCTGGAAATGACAGAATCCTGACGTTCTAGAGGTCGGCGATGAGAGAAACTTACAATCTGAGGACATCCGTAATCTTGCTCTAGGACAATCGAAGGGTGAGTTGTGCAGCACTCTCCATTTACCCCATTCTGAATAATCTTCTCTGTACAATGATTGATATCCTCCTTTGGTTTCATCATATCTTTACAGAAATCGTTACACACATGATTACCAAACACCTCTAAAATACCCCGCAGACCGCGATCGCTACTTCCATACTGCTGCCCTCTGGAATGAATTACTGGCGTCTTCAAGAAAAATCCCTCTTCATCTTGAATACCATCCAATCCACACAGCACATGCTGCCCGTTGGACAAGTGGTATGTGAAATGTGCAAATGCTTCCAGATCTTTAGCAATGCAATGTTTCTTCTTTCCCTGGCAGTCCATGAACAGGGTCAGCTCTCTGTGTTTCCCTGGTTTATCCTCGTTGACACGCAGATCATCCTCAAACAGCACAGTTTCTTCGGTGCTCAGCTTCCGCTCTCCGCTAAAAAACAGCTGTTTGATCTTGGAAACTTCATCCATTTGAGCCCAGTAGAGTGTCGTGAACTTAATTCTGACTTTCTTCTCCTGCATCAAATTGTTAAATGCTTTTGCCACTGTCTTGGCTTGCTGGCATTTCTTCACCTCACAGCGGCACATGTTCTGAAAATGATAAATTATCAGTTGTGTATATGTGGTAACATTTCATTTTCAAAGTGATAAATGTATCGACATCAACAACATCTTCATCAGTGTTATCACATATACATTAGATGTGTACGTGGGGCATCTGGTATATGATGCTAAACTTACATTTTTATAGAACAGTCAGCATTCAATGGGTGTAAATATCATGTCCGCCACTTTTACTTCCCATTATTACCTAGTACTCAGTTTAGGCTCAGAGCCATTGTGGTATAGTGGCTAGACATTCGCCTGCAGACTGGAAGGTCATGGGTTCAAGTCCTGATGGAGAAATAATTTTTTTTAAACGGTCTTGGCTCCCAGGTTGACCCAGCTTTAAATGGTTACCAGGTACAGCACTGGGAAGTAAAGGTGACCGGCATAACAAAAGTGCCAAATTGTCTATAAAATGTAGGTCTAGCCCTATATGCCCAACATGTCTAAAGGCGTGGAAAAGGGGTCCTTTACTTTTACCTTACATTATAGACTGGATTGACCTAAGAGTCTCAGTCAATTTTGAAAACAATCTGCCTCAATGTGAATTTGAACCCCAGACCTTCGGTCTATCCACTACAACAGGGCTATTCAACTACATTTACTCAGGGGCTCCAGTTCTGAAAATGGATCACAAACCCAAGCCCCAGCGTAGAAAGATAACTTATACAGTACAACTGGCAATGATCCACGGACCCTTTGCTAGGCCTCTCCCTGTAAGCTCCCAATTGAATAACCATGCACTACACTATCTCATGTGGAGATTACAAATTATTTTCGTTGCTCCCTCCCCCCTTCCCAATTGTTAGGTCAAATTAGCCAGTGTAAATTCAGTCTTCCTGACCGCTGCTTAGAGTGGCTCATATGTCACCAGCACCCTTTATGGCAGGGCTAGTCAACTGACAGCCCACAAGCCATCACCACCACCACTACCACTAACAACTAGTCTTTAGTCTTTAATAGGAACACAATTGCCACTCTGAATAGGAACAGCCAACAGACAACAGCCAGCACAGACCAGCCACTCTGAAGACAACAGCCAACACAGACAACGGCCAGCACAGACCAGACAGTCAACAGCCAGCACAGACAGACAACAGCATAGACAGCACACAGACAACGGCACAGCACAGACAGACAACAGCCAACACAGACAACAGCCAGCATAGACAACAGTCAGCACAGATAACAGTCAGCACAGACAACGGCCAGCACAGACAACAGTCAGCACAGACAACGACCAGCACAGACAACGGCCAGCACAGACAACAGCCAGCACAGACAACAGCCAGCACATACAACAGCCAGCACAGACAACGGCCAGCACAGACAACGGTCAGCATAGACAACAGCCAGCACAGACAACAGCCAACACAGACAACAGCCAGCACAGACAACGGCCAGCACAGACAACAGCCAGCACAGACAACAGCCAGCATAGACAACAGTCAGCACAGATAACAGTCAGCACAGACAACGGCCAGCACAGACAACAGCCAGCACAGACAACAGCCAGCACAGACAACAGCCAGCACAGACAACGGCCAGCATAGACAGGCCACATGTAATGAATCTAGCAAATATAAAATGCAATATAACTAGAATGTCTTTACATTGGAACCCACATGGGAATGGAAATTAAGGCAGCCAAAACACACACGTGCACCATACGCACACATACACACTGACACTGAGAAAAGGGAACTAGAAAGAGTTTTTTAAAAAAAAAGTGCGGGAAACAGGAGTAAGCTGTATTCAATAGCAAATGGCTGGAAGACTTAGCATTAGGCTGAAGGCCTATGCTCCACTGGGGATAAAGAGCAGCAGAAAAAAATGCATGAAGTCACAAACTTGATGCACTGTGGAACACAGTTCACAATGATCACGAGCCAAGAAAAATTGGAAGAAAAAAAAAAACAAACAAACAAAACAAAAAATAAGGTTTCCTATAAGATAACTACAAATCTCACCTCCGTCCCCTTGCCTCGTCTGAAGACCTTGACAACGCATTTGTCTCCCGATTTCGGACCGATGCCGTTCATCCTGCCACTGTACACTTTGAAATCATCTCCCTTGGAGAAGCTCTTCTCTTCGAATGATACCCAGTATGACTCGCCATTACCAGGATCCGCGCACTGGAGTGTACAGTTCTGGAAACTGTCAGAAACAGAATCAATAAGAGAATGAAAAGTCTGCAGAAACTGTGCTCAAGAGATTCAAGCATTTAATGAAAATTCAAGGAAGAGACTAAAGAAAGTAGACTACAGAAAATTGGGAAGAGTTAATAAAAACTACAAAAATATTATTACCAACAAAACGTAGCCAAAACCTAGCAAACTATAGCTTTTCATAACAGAATATACCCTTGATGTAATGAAAGCAGTTCATTACTTCAAAAGACTTTTTTCCGTTTCAGTTGCAAGCCAAGTAGCAGCAGAGCATTTTGTGTTAATTTTGACAATGGTTATCAACAATTGACCCATCCATTAAGCAATGGCAAAATAGTGAATGCCAAACTACCTAGTAGGACCACAAACCATTGTTGGTTTACATGGCTCTCTACAGTACAGACAACTAACTTGCACAGACATTACAGTCAAAGTTCAACAAAAACTGGATAAAATGAATATTTTGTGAAATCTGTATTAAAAAAAAAACAAAAAACAATGGTGAAACATTATTCTAGAGAAAAATTGAAGATTCTGTCCTGAACTACAGGGTTTCTGGGACTTGTGTCTGGATGATTCTCATCCAAATAGTGGCACTTTGTGTCACCGGGTGTTTATCGCTCGTTGTGCGGAACTGGTGGGGGTGAAATCACTCACGCCTTGAGCAAACAACCTTTGCATATTGCATCCTGAAGTTTTTAAACCATTGATTGTGTCTTCTTTTTTTATCTATCTGTCCATCCATATATTGACCAATCAGCACTGGGTGATAATCCCCCCCCCCCCCCTCCCCTCCCCTCCCCCAGGTGCTGGATTTGGGTATACGCTAAATAAGCTATATTTTAGGGCGTTACAACCTGCAGGGGCCTCGCACAATTTCTATTTCAAGAAAAAAAAAAGTGTCTGAAGACGCTCAACTCTCATCCTTTCTGCAACCATTTCTTCCTTCCTTTATTCTTATGCCCTTCCTGATGTGCCCCCTTGATTCAACACGGTCTATGGCTTTTTGTTCCCACAAGTACACCTCAATACATGTATCATTCATGTCCCGCTTACACACATCTTTATATCGTAGAAGACAGCGACCAACACTAACAAACATACCTCATTGTGGTCCCGCCCGTTTTCTCCTGAGTTTTCTTGTCCCTGCTCTGGTCTTGCAGCTGAAGGTTCACACCCTCTTCAGAAGCTCCATTCTGGCTCCCCTCGCGATAGTTGGTTTTCCCTTGTCTACCAGGAGCTGTGGTTTCCCGGTTGTCTACGTGGTCAATAAGGTTCTCAAAGGATGTCCCGTTTGGAGAATACCGTTCCTCGTACTCCTGTCTTGACAGACAACCCACCTGGGTCTGGGAAATTCAAACACATAATCTCTTATAAATTTGGTACTGCTGTGTTATATACCAGTCTCTTATTAACAGATTAAATAAATACAGCAAAGGAAATAAAGAAAAAAAAAAGACAGATGGAAGCAAACAAAAGAAAGAACAAATGAATGAAAGAAAAGAGAGCAAGTAAAGACAGACTGGTATAAAATATGACGGGAGAGAGAGAAAGAAAAAATCCGGTACACGTAACTTAAGTCTCCCCACGCCCCACCTATGTACACACTAGCTCACTTCTGATTGGTAGTTTCCTGTACCTGTCACCTGGCAAAAGCTTACGGGGGGTGTTCCGCAATGCCGTTGATATCGCGTGTTATATAGTTTGCGCTTTTGAAACTCCTAAAACACGGAGAAACTGGCCCTAAACAACCCTCCATAGAGAATGCTGCAACCTATGTCACAGGCATTCTCTTTCTCGGAATTAAAACGTAAATGCAAGACAACGCAGAAAGCAAACAACAGAGCGGGACACACCCGTAACATTTAGTAAAGTCGACCAGCCCAACAAACTTGTGAATGAAAGGTGACCTGCTCTATTTAGGGAGATTAACGTTACTTTAACCAAGAATCCTAACCTGCACAGTTCTTTGGGACTGTACTAGCACCCCCAGGTTCAGCCCCACCCCCTCAACCCCCTTCCCCCCCCCCCCAAAAAAAAACACGTTCTTATAATGAGTAATGCGCTACTAAAACGGGAAGAAGCACATATAGACCTAATATCATCAGCGCTGTACGGACTAGGCTGGGGCATAATGTTGAACCTCTGACTCTAGCACGATTGCCTGACTTAGGATTTTAGCTTGACGAAGCACGTCTATGTCGTCTTTGAGGACAAGATACGAGATAATATAATGAACTCCTCGTGGAAACAATCAGTTGAGGTACCCTGGAGTGGCTGCTGCATCGGAGACTAAGCACGCACTGGGGTGCCTAAAGTGGCGCAGCGACGCCGATTTTGATACCATTGCGGGTCCTTCCCAGCATGTTTTACAACCAACCGCAGCCATTTTGGCTTTTTGTGATTTCATTTAGCAATTTTAAGTCACTGCCTTCTCAGCGATCGCCTCTCGATATTACTACTGTTGAAACCAACGCAAGGCAGTCTACTGTCAAATCGGCCGTAGCTGTGATCTTACCAGGCATTACAGAATTACGAGGCGTGTTGGCAACGCCCAAGATACCAGAGGTTAAATGCAGGCAGCAAAGACATACGAGTGAGTGGTCGTATTAGTATTTATGATTCTTCTGCGCTCGTCCTTAAAAGGGCGGTTGGTGTGTTGTGGTATACAGCTAGGTTGTGATATCTGTGCCTTTCGACCTAACATATCCGATTTCAGCAAACTTCTAATTAGCCATCTTTTATGCCGTGCTTATTGGTGGTAGTGGGTCTAGCAACCGCTGACTTTATTTATAGCTCCAGAAGGGCGTGGTCTAGCCTACTCCCCCCCCCCCCCCCCCCACAAGAGATCCTCCGGATCCCACATATGAGGTCCATTTCAACGTATGATAAATTATTCGTTTGAGAAATATGCACTAATTGAAGGTTACGAAGACAGCAGCTGACCGTAGGGGTCAATAGCTGGCTTTAGAAACAGTCAGTGAACCTGAAGATGCAGAGAAACACAGAGAAAATGTTCTTCAAACTGAAGAGACGCAAATAATACTGGCCAACCGGCCACTTCAGATAAGCGTCGCTTTGTTGTTGCACATGCCAGGAGGATATCAAGTAGCCATTTCTTTAATTGCTGCAGCCTTTGTGTGGTTTCATGTCAAGAAAAACTGCGTTTGTGTATTTGTAGGTAAAGGCTCTTGTTACAACTCCCACGCTTCGGATGCACTATCGTGGGAGCGCCCATGGTGTAGCGGCTTGGCGCCATCCTACAGATCGGAAAGTTGTGGGTTGGAGTCCTGACGCAGCCAGACAATTTTTTTTTCCGAAAATGGCCTTGACCCGCAAGTCGACCCAGACTTAAGTGGGTACCAGGTGCAGTCATGGGAAGTAAAGGTGGGTGGCGTGATGCTGACCACATCACCCACCAAGTGCCGATTGGTCTATAAAATATAGATCTAGCCCTATATGCCCAATATGCCTGAAGACCTGTAAAGGGGTTCCTTACTTGTTGCTATATATATATATATATATATATATTCCTATATATATATATATATATATATATATATATATATGTCGGCTCTGTAGCTAGGTCGATGCGAACGCTTCGTAATACCGGGATGCCGGGTTCGATCCCAGCGTCGGGCCATGCGCCTTGCGTTGGTTTCGACAGTGGTATCAATAAAGCCGAACGTCCAGTTAGCAAAAGCTAATTACTCGACGTAAATTTGCCTAGAAAAACCACACAGCAGCCAGAGGCTGTTGGGGTTGGTTCTGAAACGTCCTGTAAAGGATACGCAACTAACCTTTTATATATATATCTATATATATATAAATTTATACACACATACACACACACCATATTTTCTGTGTATATATTTTATGAAACTTAACTTTTAGAAAAGAGCACTTTAGAGGTTCTAGGTGTTAGCGTCCTTTGGATATTTTTTCCAGGTCGTGCCTGGTGTGTTGGGAAATAAGCAGGCAGATAGACTGGCCGGTTCTGCACCACTTGGTGGTGAATTGTTGTATGACAGGCTAGATGTCGTGAGGGCCCTTTTGGAGCGAGTGAACAGGGCGGGGGCAAACATACATCATTACGGTATGAGGAGAATTGCGTTGCGGGGAGTTACCAGGGGATCTGGCCGACGCTCAACACTCAAGGGAAATGCGAGACGGATATACAATCAGTTACTGGTGCCATCGGAATTGGAACTTTCGACGAAGATAGGGACGGAGCGCTTATGGGAGTGACCCGAGTGATATGCTGTAGAGTTTTATTCAACACTTAACTTCTAGACTGAGAGTTGTCTTTTACATGCATTGTATTTAAAATATATATATTTTAAAAAAAGGGGGGAGGGGGGAGGTCGCTAGTGACACACAAGACATTCACAAGAAAATAAACTCCGCTGATTATGGAGTGCTGCTTTTGTCCCTATGTATTGCCTCTAATTTTACACTTCTTCATTTCCCTTTCTGCAGTCCTTCTCCAGGTTTCATTCAGTCATCCCATCTCAGTTTTCCCTTTGTGACAACTCCCACGCTTCTGATGCTGATTTTATATCCATCTATCCTCCAATCTGTCCGTTCTCAGGTCCCTTTCTGCCAATCTGCTCGTCCGTCTGTCCAGTGTCCGCCTGCAATCCACTTGTTCTCGGGTCGCTTTCTCTACATAAAAATCCATTCGTTTCCTCCCCCCCCCCATCCATCTCTCCCTCCTCCCTCCATCTCTCTCTCTCCATCCATCTCTCTCTCTCTTCTATCTCTCTCTCTCTCTATCTATCTATCTATCTATCTATCTATCTATCTATCTATCTATCTATCGATCGATCTATCGATCGATCTATCGATCGATCTCGATCTATCGATCGATCTATCGATCTATCTATCTATCTATCTATCTATCTATCTATCTATCTATCTATCTATCTGTCTATCTATCTATCTGTCTATCTGTCTATCTATCTATCTATCTATCTATCTATCCGTCTATCCGTCCTATCTATCGTCTATCGTCCGTATCTATCCGTCCGTCTATCCGTCTATCTATCTAATCTATCCGTCTATCTATCTATCTATCTATCTATCTATCTGTCTATCTATCTATCTATCTATCTATCTATCTATCTATCTATCTATCTATCTATCTATCTGTCTGTCTATCTATCTATCTATCCTCCTGCCTGCACGAGGAATAATGGGATATCGCAATTTATTCAACTTAGACACACACATTAAAACCTATTGTATTTACTAAGCAAACGAAGAATGAAATAAAAAATAATTCCTACAATTACCTTTCATTCGAAACACTTGAAATTCTTTGCAATCTTTGCATTTTTTATAATCCACGAATCACAACAGTTTTTTTCTTTTTTCTTTTTAAGCGAGATATATTGCATGCTCACATTTTGGCTGCTGACGTTTAATAAAGCGAACTCAAAAAGCATCACTTTCAGAACCTACCTACGCCTGCCCGTTTCTTTCCATTCCCAGCAGACAGCGAAAAAGTACATTAGTTAATTCCTTAACAGATCCGATCAAAGAACAAATGCGACAGGAAAGGGAAACAACTATGCTGATATACACGGTAGATCTATCCAGGACTGATCTATCACAACCCTTGCGAACAAAGAACACCAACGCGGTGTCTCTCCTTCTTTCTCTGTCACTCGCTCTTCTCTCTACCAACCAACGAGTCGTTTGCTCTTGTGACAAGTGACGCCGCGCCGTTCTTTGTGTAGCGGTGTGAACCGACCTGTGGCATGTGTGTGTGTGTGTATAAGTGTGTAAGTACTAAAGCGTGGATATATTAGTGAAAACTTTAGCAACAATTTATTGATGACTTTTTTGAGCTTGTATGGACTATATTTCATTAATACCAGACACGTGTGATTTGTTTCTATGTTTGTGAGTGTTTGTATGTGTGTGTGTGTGTGTGTGTGTGTGTGTGTGTGTGTGTCCGTATTTTATGAGTGCGTAAGTACTGAAGCCCAACTGAGTATAAGTGGAGACATTGGTGAAAACATTCGTAGCGAATTATTGATGACTTCCTGAGCATACCACTGAGCATACACACATATGCCAGACTTGTAGTTGTGTATGTGGGTAA